CCCCTACCCCAGTGTGATGCCCGCCCGGGGGGTGCAGGATCCCCCCCGCCCTTGACCGCCTCCTGCACCCCGGAGATGGGAGCTGCTGCGCCCGGGGGGGTTCGCTCTCTTCTTGGGGGTGGCGGCTGCGGCGCCCCGTGCGAGTTGTCTTGCGGGCCCTTGATTTTGGGAGGGTATATCAAGGCAGCCGGGTCCCGAACGGGGCGCGGGAGGTGGCTTATCCGCGCCGAGAGCAGCTGGGGCTTTGCTTTTTGGAAGAAAAAGAAAGAAAAAAGATTGCTATTAGGAAATCGTAGAAGTCCGGCGGGGGTGGGGGAGTGTTGCTGGATCTAAAACAGCTCCTTGCTGGTTATTTGGAGCTGAATAGGTGTCAACCTCATGGTGCTCGTTAGTGGAAGCGCGTGTCGGGGAACGACGTCCTTGTCTGGAAAAGCGGAGGGTTGACGAGGCTGCTTGGGTGTAACGTAAGGCCTAGACTTGAGTCTCCGTCTAGCGAAAGAGCCTCGAGTGCCTGGAAAGCAGTGGCAAAGGGAGCTCTAGGCACCGTGGTGCTTTGCTTCTCCCAAAGGTGGGATTTTTTTGCAAGGTCCCTCTGCCTGCTCGCATCCCTGGGACTGCATCGCATCTCGTCAGTAGCTGGAGGAAACGACTGGCTTATTTCTGTGCTGGAGCGGGTTGCTCTGGGTGTGTTAAGTACTGTGAGAGCGCGAGTGGGGAGCTCATCCTCCTCCCCGCCACTTCGGGAATGCTTTGACTTCCAGGCTCTGGATTGTGGCAGCGGGTTTGATAGCCACAGTCCGACGTCTTCCAGTGGCAACCGCGAAGCAGTTGTGTGCCGTAAATGCAATGGAAGTGCTGTTCTTCTGGCTGGGGAGCGTTTCCACACCATGTGGAATCACTTACTTTTTATTATTTAATATGCGAGGCAGATGTGCTGTCGTACGCAACGTGGGGACCGGGAGTCGTCCTCCAAGGCCATAAACAAGAGCTGACGGGTGTCAAAACAGGCTCCGCTTCGTACGCGCAGCTGCGGGCCGCGTCCGATTGGTAATTGAAGTGGGGACCTGCTGCTTTGCTTCTGGCTTGATTTTTGAAAAGCAGGACGCGGCCCCTCTCGCTGCACGCAGCGCTCTGCAGATCCCCACGTGGATGCGATGTCTGCGTGTGTTACAGGCTGGGGCTTCTAATTAAAGATCTGTGTTTGAGAGCCTCCCGCTGGGGGCTGTCATGAATATTGAAAGGGGCTGTTGGCTGTTTAAGAAGCTCCATTCTAAACCTGGCTGAGCTAGTGTCTGTTTTGTTTAGAAATCCAATGCATTCAGATGCTGGAGTTTTGTTCAAGAAGCCTTGGCTTGGAGCTGCCTGCCCTGTGCTGCCCCCTCCCTCCCTCCCCCTTGGATCTTTTTTGCAAACCTTAAGAATTGTTCTTTCCTTGCATGTTTAAAAAAAACCAAACCTTGTCCTTGCTCTGCTGAAGTGATGTGCTCATATACGTTGTGCTTGTATAGATTATGATCTCTTCAGAGCATGGGAAGCTTTCCAAAGTTCTTTTATTAAAACCAAAATCACCTCTGTAAAAGGTCTTGCATGCGGACTGCTCTGAGATCCTACAGCTTGCGAACTTTTGCACGATACTGCTACAGAATTGGTGAAATCTGACTTCCTGCAAGGCCTTGTACAAGTCTGTTGACTTCTGCACGTCGGTGTCAAGGCAGCAAATAAATCCAACTAATCTTGAACCTGACCCATGTTCTAGTCACTTCACGCATGAAACCGATGTCCCATTTGATTGTGTTTCTCTCAACCCAGCAGCCTGTCGGGCTGCTTTTCCTCCATGCTTTAGCTGCCAGTAAGGGCCTCCAAAAAGCTGATCCTAATTAACCTGTTTTTAATTTCCAATGTGGTCTTCATATGCTTTTTTTTTTTAATTTTGTGTTTTTGACTGGGCTGGGCTGGGCCAACTGCTCGTTGGAAAGCTGAATAACTCGTCCATCGTCACTTGTTTCCTCTTGGTTCCAGCCAAAACAAGCATCCAACTCTTGGCTTGCAATGCACGTTATTTTAACGTAGTTTCTGGATCAGAACCTCTGGCCCTTCTTCCACGTGGCTTTAATTTCTCTCTTTCTCTTTGCCCTATCTTGTTCCTGCCGCCCTCTGTGTTAGTAAACCATTAAATGACATGAATGCCCCCTTTTTTTTTTTACAGTGGCATTTTGAGGTGATGGATGCTGATTTTTCTGAACTCTAGTCAGCTAAGAAACTGAAGGTCACTGACCCAGAATAAATTGAGGGCAAAATTATCCTCTGGCCCTCACTTTTCTGTATCTGTGAACAATGGGTCTATGAAGCTGGAAAATCACAAGTTTTCAAGCCAGTGACTTCCCTATAAATGTAAATGGCGGTGTGGAGTGGCTCGGTAACACTGCTCAGCTGGCACATCACTGAAAGGGATAAAACGGAGAGGAATTTTTCTTATGCTTATTCAAGGAAAAAGAGCTCATAACTCTGAATGTTGCACGGGGTTTCTGTGATGCTACTTTGTCTTCTGCAGTTGTTTTCCGTTCTCGGCAGCCAGGCACGCAGAGTGTCTGCGGCTGTGTCATCATCTAAAATCAGACAGTTTGTTTGGAAAGGACTTTTCCAGGGTTACAATTAGGCATCTCACTCTCCCCTCCTTTTAATTGCACTGCCTCTGTTCTGTGGCAGCCTGGAAACACCTATTCTAGTCGTGAGCAAGAGCCTCTTAGATCAGTGGTTCTCAGGTGGGGTGCTGCGAGCGCCTCTTAAGGGTGCCCCACAATATTAGGTGTGCAAATGGGATCCACAAGATAACCCCAGGGATGTCGAGGAGAAATCCGTGGTGTTTAATAAAACACGATCTGATTTGTTGTGGGTTGAGTTCTTTGCCACAAAAAATTTGCTCTGTTGTTTTTCTGTAGTCAAAAAAGTGAAAACTAAGAGCTGGCATTTTCTGAGGGGTGCCTCAAGTCTATCAAGGAATGCCTGGAGGCTAAAAAGATTGAGAATGACTGTCTTAGATGCAGCTCAGCTACCTGATCTAGTGCTCCAATAGCCAATCAGGTGCCCTGCAACCGTAACCCTAATGTGCAGGTGGCACATAAGAGAGAGAGAACTGCCTTCGATAAATCCACCCCACATACATGGTCTTGTCGCGTTGCCCCCACTTGGTTGTGCAACATCCAGCTGCTCCACTCCAGGCCCATCAAATCTATTTGTCTTGCTTTGAAGGATGAGAATAACCAGGGCCTTTCTTGAGGCTCTGTGATGCTTTCTACAGTTTAACTTCATTTGCAAAGTCGTCCCTGAACAGTTGCTGCCGCAAAGACACTGTTCACCCCATGTCAAATAACCTCTCAAACGGTGGCTCAATAAAGCATTGTCTCCGAATGCCCCGGGGAGGATTATGTTCCTGACTCCTGTTGTCAATAGCAAGGGAATCTGCTTTTCATGTTCGAATTCCATGCATACGTTGGCATACTGTCTGCGCCGGCAGAGAACCGCATGTTGTATATGGTTTGCTGTCAATCTTGAGGTTAGAAGTGCACCCCCACGTTGGATGTCTGGGGAAGAATCCAAACTTGAAATCAGTCCAAGCTGACTGCGTGCTATTACCAAGCTCCCAAACCCTGCATCTGAAGCAAGACGGGTGAAATGTTTGAGTGAGAAACTCCTGGTAGCTGCATGGTGGCTCTGCTTTTATAGGGCGTTCGCCAAATTAATAAATTCAGGCCGTCAGAATTTGCTAGCTCTCTTCCCTTCGGAGATGTGCGTGCCTAAAAACAAACAGCCGAGCGCGTGGGCGAATGAAATATTTAGCTAGGCAGCGTCTGATGTGTTTAGCATGTTCTTCTTGCATGTGTCATTGTGCTGACCTTTCTATTTGTTTCTTGCCCATGGGAGACTTTTGTCTGCTTGAGTGTCATTTTGCCAGTTACTTGGGCTTGCTGCTGGCTGAATTAGCACCGTTCATCCTGGGAGAGTGTGTGTTTTGAGTGAAGCTGTCCAATTTTATACCAGTGGCATTCGTGTATCGGCAAAATGTTCTGTTGTATTTCTAAGATCCCTTCATTTCAAAGCTGTAGCTGAGGTTAAAAAAGCCTAGAGGGGCTGTAGCTGAGCTTAAAAAGATGGGGCTGGATCTCATGAGCTGTAAGGTCCCTCCCAACCCCTAACACCTAAGAGCAACTATGAAAGAAGGATGGGTTAGGAGAGGGTTTTCCTAATAGATATTGAAAGACCTGAAATTTTTGCATAGAAATAATTTGGGTTGACTTAGGAAGAGCTCGGCCCTAGAGTAGACATCTAGAGAGGTGGTGGAGGTCTCCATCCTTGGAAGTTCTCAAGAGCAGTTGGGCAAACACTTAGGTATTTGTTGGGCAAACACTTGGGTGAGATGGTTGAGATGGGGACAATCCTGCCTCAAGCAGGGTTGAATTGGATGATCTTTTGAGATCCCTTCCAGCCCTATTTGGCTGTTGCTGTAAGTTTTTGGAAGGAATTTGAGGTTGGACTATCTGGAAGCTGTAGGACCTTCTTGCCCTTCCAGCTGTGTGACAGATCACTCGGTATACAAACAGCAGCAGAAATGGAGAACAAACAAAGGAAATGCTTCCTTCTCGTTGTCAGGGGTGGAGATTGTCCTGATTATCATGTCTAGTTCCTGCGTATGCGTATATGGATAAGAATAATTGAAACTCCTGCCGTGGACACAGAGTTGTGGCAAAGATTAAGGAAGAGTTTCTTCCTGCATCTACAGTACTACACCATTAGTTGGGTACACACATGGGAGCTTTGCCTCCTCTCAACAATTGGAGTACGGAGGAGTAGTCCTACTTGAATCGAGCATGGCAAAGTCTATGTTCCAGTGGCTTCAGGAATAACTTGCAGACTGTTTAGGAAGGACTCACATCCTGAAATGGCTAGGACTGCTAAATTAAATGTGTATTAAAGTCTCAGGCTCTGGTTTCCTGATAGAAATGGAAAAAAACTTTTCTCCTAAACATGGGCTCTGCTTTTAGCATGTGATTCACCACTTAATTACACTCTCTCCTGTTCAGAACGAGACAGACCCGATTCTCCAGCGCCAGTTTCCTCTGTGATCATGTAGCCACTTTGTGGCAGCCAAGTGTTTCCACCCAAATTTGAGTCGAATTCTGTCCACAGGTTTGAGTTGTGCAGCCCATGCACTGGCGTGCTTAAAGGGGATGGGAAATGTCTGTGTTCAGGGCGGCTGATTTTCCAGCAGAAATCCTAGCACAAGCATAGATCACACAAACTGTGGCTCTTACTAAGTTTCCTGCATGCTGCAATTCTTCAGCTGCAGAGTTACTCAGGAGTCTGCCATCTCTTGCTCTTTAAATACCTGGGGAACAAAGTCTAGTCTGCTCCTTAATACTGACAGTGCAGCTGATTTCCCTGCTGATGGTGTTGCCCATACCTTACCACTCTGGTCTCTTTAAGAGAAATGCATTGTTGCCTTGCTCCATTGCTAACTCAGGTGCCTTCCTCTGGGTCTCTAGGTTTGAAGGAAGAGAGATTTCCTTTTTGGCTGACTTTTGGGATGTTTGATCTCAAGGTCAGACCCTGTGTGACTGAGATGGTGAGCACCTGCCGCTGATGGCTTTCGGGGTTGGACTGTGACTTCGGTTTATGGGAGAGAGCCCCGTGGTGGTGGGTATATTCATCTTGGTGTGCGGATGCTAGGGGGAGTCTCTGTTTCTATGCGAGTGATCACTGCGAGCGATACTGAACTTCCAGGCTTTGTTCCCTGCGTCTGAACCCGCCTCCTGCTTCTGTCTCTTCAGTGAATGTCGTGGAGGCTCTGCAGGAGTTCTGGCAGATGAAGCAGTCGCGTGGTGCCGACCTGAAGAACGGAGCCCTCGTGGTGTATGAAATGGTCCCTTCCAACAGCCCCCCTTATGTCTGCTACGTCACCTTGCCGGGGGGCAGCTGCTTTGGCAGTTTTCAGGTAGGCCTGTGTGATTTTTTCATAGATTTCATAGACATTAGGGGCTGGAAGGGACCCCGCAAGATCATTGAATCGAGCCCCCCTGCCAGAGGCAGGAAGTCTGCAGGGATCAGATGATCCCAGCAAGATAAACATCCAGATGCCTTTTGAATGAGTCCAGAGTAGGTGCTTGCACCATCTTTGGAGGGAGTCTGTTCCAGACCTTGGACACTTGGACTGTAAAGAAGTTCTTCCTTATTTCGAGTCTGAATCGTCCTTCCAGAAGTTTGTGGCTGTTAGACCTAGTTATCCCTTGGGGAGCCTGGAGAACAACTGTTCTTCCAGATCCTGATGGTACCCCACTTAGATACAGGCAGTCTTCAGACTTATGACGCAATTGGTTCCTGCAAACCACTAGGCCTGTGAGAGTCGGCAGCAATCCGATCCGGCTTCAGATCCAGCCACTTTGGATGGCCGCGATCTGATCCGCAGCTCCGGACTAGGTTTCCACCTCGATCCGGCCGAAGCGGCCATAGGGTATAATGGGGAATCAATGAAATATCTGTAACTTTGTTTTTTGTCCAATTTGGATGAAACGTGCAGGGATAGTAGCCTCTGCTGAGAGCATAAAACCTGCCAAGTTTCAAGAAGATCGGTGCAGGGGTTTGGGGGGAACTGTACCCCAAATTCTTGAAAGCCAAACTCATGTCACGGCTGTGTGTTACAACACAGGGGGGTCAAAACTGCAGGGGTAGCTCGTACTAAGGCCCCAAAGCCTGCCAGATTTCAAGGAGATGGGTACAGGGGTTTGGGGGGAACTGCACCTCAAGCTGTGGACAAGCAAAACTTGTGCCACGGGTGACGAGTAGCACCACCGAGCCTATAAGTATGATGCTGGGTTTTTTTCCAAGGTGGAGTACCCTGCACTTCTCTACATTGAATGCCATCAGGTTTTGGTCTGCCCACTTCGCAAGCATGTCCAGGTCAGCCTGTATCCCCAGCCTGTCCTCCAGCATGACCACCTTCCCCCATAGTTTAGTGTCGTCTGCAAGCTTTGCCAGTCCATGTCTGATGCCCGAATCCAGGTCATTAATGAAGATATTGAGGAGTACCGGTTCAAGCACTGAGCCCTGGGGGACTCCACTGGTAACCTTGTGCCACGCTGATTTGTTCCTATCGACTAGTACCCTTTGGGTCTGACCCTGGAGCCAGTTCCCCAGCCATTGGACCATGAGATGGTCAAGGCCACAGTTCCCCAGCTTGGCTGTGAGGACATCATGGGAGACCAAGTCAAAGGCCTTCTTGAAGTCCAGATCAATGACATGAACCTCGTCTCCCTTGTCCAGGCAATGTGTCACCTGGTCATAGAAGGAGATGAAGTTGGTCAGACAAGACCTTCCAGTAATAATGCCATGTTGGCTGGCATTAATGAGGTTGCCTTCCATTAGCCTGTTGCAGATGGATTCCTTGATAATTTTCTCCAAGATCTTTCATGCGATGGATGTCAGACTGATAGGTCTGTAAGTCCCTGGATCTTCTTTCTTCCCTTTCTTGAAGATTGGGACCACGTTGGCTCTTTTCCAGTCTTCTAGTACATCACCCAAGCGCCATGAGCTTTCAGATATCTTGGCCGTAGGGCATGCTATGATGTCCGCCAGCTCTTTTAAGACTCTGGGGTGTAATCCGTCCAGGCCTGTGGACCTATGGATGTCAAGCCTCTTGAGGTATTCTCTCACTTGATCTACGTCAAGTGTGGGCCCATCTCCCAAGCCCTGGTTGCTTTGTGTCCTGTCTGACAGTGTTACCCCCTTGGGTGGGTGGAAAACTGACACAAAGTAATTGCTTAGGAAATTGGCCTTTTCTTGGGCATCAGCTGCCCCATTTGGTCTCGCAGGGGGCCAGTGTTGCTTTTGTTCTTCCTCCGACTTCCCACATATCTGAAGAACGACTATGTTATCCTTGATTCCAGTGGCTAGCCTGAGTTTGATTGCTGCCTTGGTTTTTTTGGATCTACAGGTACTGGCTAGTGCTGAATAGCTGAGTAGTCCTCCTTGGTGATGGTTTCAGTTTTCCATCTGGTGTAGGCTTCTTTTTTTTGTTTGTTTCAGGAGACCCAGAAGTTCCCTACTGAGCCAAGGGGGTTTCCCTGCTCTCTGACTGCATTTTCTGGGGGACAGGATGGACTTCCCTTGCTCTTTGAGGATTGAGTTCTTTAGGACCAGCCATTCCTCATGGGCTCCCCTTCCTAGAGGGCTGTGTTCCCTTAGTGCCTGACTGACCAGTCTCCTGAGTTGGGAAGGCTGACTTCCACAAAAGTTGAGGATTTCTGTTTTACGGAGGGATGTGCTCACCCTGCATTGGGCAGAGAAAGTAAATGGATCATGGTCGCTGTCACCAAGCTCGCCCTCGATCCTTGGATCACTCGCCAGATCATCCCCTTTGGCCAGAACCAGATCCAACAGTGCCTGTCCCCTAGTTGGCCTATAGACCTCTTGCGTTAGGTACATGTCGTCAATGCAGGTGAGGAAGTTACGCGACTGGTCAGACCTGGCCGTGTGCTCATCCCGCAAGATGTCAGGGAGGTTGAAGTCTCCCATGACGATCATATATGGGGAATGTGCGGCCTCGGCCAGTCCGCTATTGAATTCGAGATCCAGTTCTTCTTGGTCAGGAGGTCTGTAATAGACTCCTACAAGTATAGCCCCCTCCCTGTGTTCCCCTGTATTTTAACCCAGAGGGTCTCAAGACGCCCTCCATGGTTACTGAATTCAGTGTGAAGGGAAGTGTATTGCTCCTTGACAGAGAGCTACACCCCCACCCCTCTTCCCAACATGATCTCCCCTGTAGACTGTATAGCCTTCTATACCGACCCGTTGTAGGAGGAGTCCCACCAGGTCTCCATTATGCCTATGAGGTCATAATCATTATCAGTCAGGAGAAGGGCCAGTTCCTCTTGCCTTGTTACCCAAGCTCCTGGCTTTTGTATACAGGCAGTTGAGTCTGCCATGGGAAGGCCTAGGCTTCCTTATGTGATGGGACATAATCTTTCCTTGGGCTCTCATTGGGATGGGTTCCCTTGGGCTACCTAAGCTGTTACTACTGTGATTGGCATGACCTGGTCTAGAACTGTTGACTGATCGCCTGTCCCCCAGTGATCTTCGTTTAAAGCTCTGTTGAGTAGATCAGCAATTCTGGCCAAGAAGAGCTTCTTCCCTTTACAGGTGAGGTGGAGGCCATCCCTTCTACCTCTCTCACTGAAGTGCGGAGTGTGGTTAAAGAAGCCAAACCCCTCGCAATGGTATCATCGCCAGAGTCTTCTGCTCACCTCAACAATGCACCTCTCTCTCCAGGGCCCATGACCTGTGACAAGGGGAGGATCAAGGAAAATCTGCCTGAGCCCCCCAGGCTCCTGAGTCCAGCCCCCAGAGCCCTGTAGTCATGCATCACCCAGCTGGGATTGCTCCGAGCTGTGTCATTTTGTGCCCATGTGGATGAGTAGCATGGGATGGTGGTTCGTGGGCCAGATGAGTTTGGGGATCCTCTCGGTCACATTGCAGACATGAGCCCTAGGGAGCTAGCAAACTTCACAGGCTATGGGGTCGAGGTGACAGATTGGACCCTCTGTCCTCCTCAGGAGGGAGTCGCCCATCATGATTACTCTGCGTCGTCTTCTGGGTACAGTTGCTGGTGGCCCTCCTTCCTCGCATGCTGGGGCCGGGAGTTCGACTGGTTCAGCTGGTGTGAGGGGTTTGAAGTGGTTGTGCAGCTGCAGGGGAATGGACTCCCTGGTGCAGTTCCTTCTAGGGCTGGAGACTACTTCTGTCCAGGCAACCCCTGGGTGGACCTCATGGTAGCTCTTTACTTCTGCCAAGGCATCATCAGCTGTAGGGTGGAGCGCCTGGAAGTAGGTGTCCAGTTCCTGATGACTGTTTGCTTGGGCCCCACCGTCAAGGAGGCTCTCCCAGATCAGACCTATTAAGTTCCCATTCTAATGAAGTCTTGTCCTTAGCTTGGAAGCTGCAAGGTTTTCTGAGAGCCCCTGCGTTAGTAGATCCAAGCCTTAGGTTGTTGCATGCCGTGCTGATTGCAAATCACTATATGTTTCTGTCCAGGATCAATCTCTCAATAAATCCTGGCAACTTAGTTCTTTTGAATTGGTCATAAATGCTACTGTCACCACCTAATTCCCGCTAGTAAGTGCAAAGACTAACCAGCATACTGCAAATGCCCAGGTAAGATGCAGGGGTGTAGATTGTAGCCGTGTTGGTCTAAGGACATAGGCAGACAAGGTTCCTTGGGTGAATTTGATATCTTTTATTAGACCAACCCAAATAGTTGGAGAATAGTTATTAAGCAAGCTTTCGAGTTCAAAAACCCTTTGTCAGATAAGATGCAAGGTTTCTAAGGCAATAGCCAGGTATTAGGATGACACTTTTACGTACCTTGAGTTATTTCTCTGCTCTCTACAGGGGGAAGCAGTTGGGTATGAAATGTGGACACCATGAGCTTTGGCATGATTGCAGTTCCAGTCTCTGAATTTGACCCAGTATCTCTCCCTAAGATGCCAAGAAAATTGGCAACTGAGTTCTAACATTTGATCAATAGCTTCTGCCTTGCCTTTGAGCAGGAAAAGGTCCAACACAAATATCCCGCCAGAAAGATTAAAGTCCAAGAATCACAAAGGGTCCCGATTTGCAGCAAAGAAATCCGAAAGGCAGTGGCTTTAGGCAGTTGCGTATCAGCCTTGGTTTGAAGAAAGTGTCCAAAAGAAACAGTTTGGGCAGCTGAGCTGCCTACCCATCGTGAAGAGCAGCCCTCATGTTTAGACTGGGATGGCTGCTTTTGAGTTATAAGCTAATTAATTTTGCTGACAATCTGATCAGTGGTATTTTCTTCCCCCTGTCCAGATAGGCAAGTTGAACTCAGCACGTACTGTTTAATTTTTGCATTCAGAGTGGTTAGGATAGCTGCGGTTTAAAACTCTCCTAATGACTTCAGGATGTTGGAGAGAACAGCTTTCCAGTACTCCACAACACGACCACCTAATAGCTGTTTCATGTGTCTGAGGGAGGAGAACTTTTTGGACCGTGTCGGGCCCAACTGATCTCAGCCATTCCCGTGCTTGTATTTATCTCTCCCCAGTTCTGTCCAACCAAAGCCGAAGCCAGGAGGAGTGCCGCGAAGATTGCGCTAATGAACTCTGTCTTTAACGAGCACCCGTCCCGGAGGATCACAGACGAATTCATTGAGAAGAGCGTTTCGGAGGCCTTGGCGTCTTTCAACGTAAGGGTTCTGACTGTTGCAGTTGTTGGGGACAGATTGACTGGAAAGCCTCAAATGCCGGGAAGGGAAATTTCTTTTGCATCTGGAAATCCTTAGGGCAGATTTTCAGTGATGCTTTGGAATGTTAGAAAAATATTAAAACAAAAATCAGCTTTAATTCTTGTGGCTTTCTTCCCTCCCTCAGCCCTCTAGTTAGTCCCTCCCTGGATTCAGATGCCCACTCTGCCTATACCCTTGGCTCCACACTTGGGGCTACATTCTGCTCCTACTTAGATCAGTGGGGTTACTTGACACCGGCATATATGAAAGCAGCATTTGGCCCGATAAGTTTTTAGCATGCCTGCCATTGAAAGGCTATGAACTCCAGTCTCCTCCCTCTTCTAGAACTTGGAAGAGGTTCTTTTTGTCCTTTCTTACAAACTACTTTTGTATGGAACTGCTTTTAGCAGTGCCAAAATGAAAGCCAGGCTTTCTTGATGTGTACTTCTAACCCAAGAAAGGTTAACTAGATTGATCCAGTGGAAGAAATGGGAGACAGCCTCTTTGTCTGCCACAGAAGACGCACATACAGTGCCCTGATAGAGCATGATGAGTTTCATGTGGCATTGCTTGGAATGCCTAATAAAGTAGGCCTGTAAAGGCTTGTTCCTTCAGTAGTCTTTGACTTTCAGTGGGAAACCATTTCTGGATGTTGCAGCAGAGTCCTGGAGAGATGCCGTCTCTGTTTGCATGTGCGGGGGCTGAAGCTGGCTCCTCTTATTTCCTGGCTATAATCACAGCCTTTCTTGCAGGGTAATCGTGAAGAAGCCGATAACCCAAACACCGGAATCGGCGCTTTCCGTTTCATGCTAGAATCCAATAAGGGGAAGTCCATGCTGGAGTTTCAGGTACTGTTCATAACTGGATTCCATGCCTGGGTCTGGATTAAAGCAGTTGATGTTCCCCTTCCGGCAATGTAGTGCGACATGTACTAGGCCTTTGCAGTCAAAAAGGCATGGAAGGGTCTTTTTATGGTGCTTTTAATCTTCAGGAGAGATTCCAGCCACAGGATCAGGATCTTTGAAGCTGTTTCTGAAGTGCAAGTGGATCTGCTGCAGGACTGTGGTGTGGGCTTCCCTCTGAAAATAACTTGGGACGTCTTTGCAGAAACTAGTGTCCTCCCAGAAGAGGTTTTGCATGTGCTTGAGAGTCTGATGGGATCTAGCATGTTTGATACTGGAATACTTTGGTAAGCGGAGGCAACATGCTGTAGTGGTCAGAGGAGAGGAGTAGGTGGGAATAGAGCGCCATCATTGTCCAGGCTGTGGTGGTGGCTAAGTAGCATCCCCTGTAGAATTAGAGTAACCAAGACAAGAATCCTGTTGTGGTGCTGGGGGACAACTGAATCGGGGGCACTGGCCCTACTCTTGATCAACGAGATCTCTAGCTCTTGTTTTTACTTCACGTGTGAACCTTTAATCTCTCTGCCTGTTCAGCATCTGTGGATCAGTATCAAGCTTCCTGCTCTCATTAGTGGTCTTTGTGGTGACGTGCTTGTCCAGTCCAGATCATGGAGGGTTCTGCCATTGTTGCATGCTTGTGGCTACAGAGGGGGTGTGCCCAATATCCAGAGCTGATGACTAGGAGTTCAGATGCCTCCTTTCTCTGCCTTGGGGGAGAGGTTTCTCCACTGGGGAGAGCAGCAAGCACCAGGAATTGGGACACTCTACCCTGCATCTGCTTTGCCCCCTCTCTGACAAATAGGCGGATCTGCCTCTGATGTTAAGGCCCTTTTGCTTGGGTCCCTTTATGGAAATGTGAGTGTTATTGAGATGTAGCTTTACAATTGTTATTCCTAATGCCCCACCAGTGACTGGATTTGGGAATCCTGTATAGAGGGGAGAATATCCTATTATATCCTGTTCTGAAGTGAGGCTTGGCAGCTTCATAAATGCAGGCGCCTCTGGTCTGCAGCATAGTTTTTATTTGGGGGTCTTGGCTGTTCGCAAGCATCACTGATGCTGTCTTCTCGCTTGGATGGTTTCCCTTGAATGGAAATATTCGGACGGCAGAGGATACGAGTGTTTATATAAATGGCCCTGTTTATATAGGGCGACGCCACGCTCTGGATGTTGCGTGGGATCTGGGAAGCCTGGCTGCTTGGGGAATTTATGCAGCCTTCAGAAAGAATTGCATGCTGAGTTTGCACTCAAATTCAGCTCCATGTTGTTGCCTGCCAGCCTCTGGGGATAGCGTGCACGGAGGCTGTTTTAACCTTGGAGACTATCTTAAAGGTCTGTGTCATCCAAATGCTGGCGCAGGTTTTGTGTGCAGCTGTGCAGGCTTCTTTCTTGGCTGACAGATCAGCTTCTCAGAATGAGAGGCTCTTACAGATACCTTTGCAGGGAAGTGAATGTGCTTCTGATCTCTTAAGAGCTTTACTGTACAGTGTGAAGAGGCCCAACTCGGAGTAAGCCAGTAAGTCAGCTCTGTGCATACTACAGTGGCACATGATGTTCTGGGCGATGGTGGGGGACCCTGCTGTGTCAGGTGCTCTACAAATGCATAACAAGCAGTCCCTGCCTTGAAGCATGTAACCTTGGCAGTGATGCTGGCACTTAGCTGCTTTTCCCTGGGTGGGGCAGACTGAAACACTGCAGACTTTCTTGCATCAGCTCTTTACTGCACTGCATCTAAGCAGCTTGTGATCCTCCCAAGAAGCTGGTTTGCCTCTCTCTGAGCCTTCCCAGCTCCTCCTCTTCCCTCCCTGCTCTTGACCTTCAGAGCCTGACTGCCCTTTCCCCTTGCAGGAGCTGATGACTGTCTTCCAGCTGCTGCATTGGAATGGCAGCCTCAAAGCTATGAGAGAGCGGCAGTGCTCACGGCAGGTAAGTGCAGTGTAGCCCTGCTCCGGAGATCCATGGTCTCCTGGATCTTTCCCACAAACAGGTTCTTCACTTCCCTGTGGGCTGTATCTTGGTGCCCGAGGTGTAGCCCACTTTGTCACCCCTCCCTCATGAACTCCCCTCGGGTGTGTTTCTGACCCTCAGGAGGTGCTAGCTCACTATTCGCACCGGGCCTTGGATGACGACATAAGGAACCAGATGGCCATGGACTGGGTGAACAGGGAGCAAAGCACTCCAGGAGCCCTCTCCAGAGAGCTGGCCTCAACAGAGAGGGAGCTGGATGAAGCCCGCCTGGCTGGGAAAGAGGTGCGTTTCCACCAGGAGAA